GCCTTCTCTAGGAATTGTGATTTATTTTTTTCTTCAGGGGTTCTTAAAGAACACATTACTGGAGTTGGGATCTGTTGGGATCTAAGTTTACAGCTTAGTATGGGCTTAGTATACTTCCTAAAAATGCTTAAAAGGCGCTGACCTAGCGGAGGGCCTTGTCCTGCAGTCAGGTCTGTGCCCATTCTGGTGCAGCTGCACTTGGACTAGAGCCCATGGCAAACTTGCCAGCCTGGAGCATGCTTATGTGGGGTTCGGATTTTTAATATTTCCACTTCAACAACTTTTTAAAAAACAAGTGTATTTGGTTTTATGGATGTGCAAAACTCTATCCAGCGTGAGTTCCTTCAGAGGAGACCAGCTCAAACTGGGTGAGATTATGGTTACGATCTGGTTTCTGAAGGCATGCCTGTGTTGTGCTGTCAGTCCCTAGTAACAACCTTCTGGGTTCTTCCACTTAAAAATCCAAGTCGTGTAGAGACTGGCTCTAAATCACCCTTGGTGCTGAGGAGCACAGCTCTGGTACATCATGGGGCTCCCTTGCATTTGCCACATAACGCAGAGCGGAAGGTCACCTCGTGAAAGGAGATGCCGTAGCTTTATTACTGCCATAATCTTCTTCCTTTGGTAATACAAAATTGTCACTTTGTCTGCAGATGAGCTGTTTTTCACCAGGGGCTGAGGTAAGGGGGAGGTGGGAGGAAGGTGTTAAAATTCAGTTTTAATATTAACTTCTAATATAAAGATTCAGTTTGAAATAGTAGGTGGCTAATACCCCTTATAGCCGAATGCAGTCAATGCTCCTTTACATGTCATTTTAACTGCTTCTCTGCTAATATGTTTCCCAGTTTTTAATAAAGCCAAAAAACTGTGGGTTTAATCCTCCATGTTTTAATTTCATATGTAAGATGACAATTTAATCCCTCGAGGTAGAAGCGAAAGTAGTTGATGCTTCTCTCAAGAGGCTTCTTGCAGTCACATCTGTCGTGCTTTCTTGGAAGTTGTCATATGGTCCTCATATTGATAGCGGAGGAGGAGGAAAAAGTACAATTATACCCACTTTTTTTCCCAGAACAGATCTTGATTCAGCAGTGAATTTAGCTATAAACGTTAAGTATAGTACATGCTAAAGCTTAAGTAAAATGGTATGTAGAACTAAGGCACAACTGGCATTTGTGGGAAGTAGTGGCATGCAGCTTTTGAAACTGAGACAACCTGTTAACATTTTTCAATAATTTGGCTTCAGATAGTGTTTTAGAGGATTTAGTTTTTATTTCTCATCATTATATGTAACATTCAGGATAATTATTTCCTCTGTGTAGCTATTTGTTGTAGCTGGTGGTGTTTTTAAACATCTAGTTGATGTTTCCTTAAGCTCTTTTTTTGTTGTTAATTACCAGTCATAAGAAAATAGGCAACATCAAAGCCTTCTGTTTACTATCCACTTAAAACTGTGAATGTGTAAATGTACAACAGGCTTATGCTAATTTCACATTCTTCTTTAAAGCATGAAAGCTCAATTATTTTCTTTCTAAGGTGTTTTAAAAACAAAGACATTTTCTGTTCTGACCTTCTAATGACTTTTGCATTGCATATACAGCTGGGAAGTAACGCAGCACATGGCAAATGAAATTGTAAAAGAGAAGGATCTTTTTTTGTTATATCTGCAAAGCAGCGAAAATGTAGATAAACATATCACAAAAATATGCTGCCGTAGCTGCTACTACTAGCTTTAGCTTAATGCAAAGTAGTGCTAGTGGCTGTGTCTTGTATGCTTAGGAATGCTAACTTTTTTTTGAGAAAATCAAATTGGGAGTCGGTGAACAGCAGGAAAGAAGGAAGTAGGGCAGATCCCAGTCCACCTGCGCACGCGACGTCTACATTCACTTCTAGCAAACTTTTCAGCCCTCACCGGTTCTGTTCCAGTGAACAACTGCAGTATTTTGCATCGCGTAGTGTTCCTCTGACCCCAGACAGCCATGCTTGCACCAGGAGAAGGTTTGGTTTTGAGGCTATATCATTTCATTTGACTTAAAGGTCAGGAAAACAGGTTCAGGATGCATGGCTGGGTGTAGTCATAGTAGTTAACACTCCTGCCTCTCCCCAGTCCTCTCCTATATATGAGAGAATAGTTACTCAGGTGCAGTAAAAACTGCATGTATGCTACTGATAACACTTCCTTTTGGAAGGAAGGAAAAACTCCCTGCCTAGAGTTTCATGGGAGGAAAAAAAAAAGCTAATTTACATATTTTGAAATAGTGAATGCCTTGTAATTTCTAAGACAGTCATTTGACGTTTTAAACCTTTGTGCTACCAGAAAGCTTGATGAGATAATGACTTGCTACAATAACGTTTTGGAGTCAAAATCATGGCTTTAATTGCAGCTTGGCTCACCTGCAAATGACTTTACTGCCTTCTAGACTCTGACAAGCATCTGTCTGTGTTACCAGTCAGCTATCAGGTTGGCACAACTGACTCTGTTTGATCAAGAGGCATTTGAGTAATACCAAAAATGTTTAGAGAAGAGGATTAAGGGACGTTAGCAAGACTGTGTGGGAAATCCCTACTCTGCTTTACTATAGTGGTTTTGGTTTCTTTTCATCATCTCTCTTTTTTTTTTTGTTTTTTGTTTTTTGTTTGTTTCTTTTTTTAAATAAATGGGGTGGTGGAGTCAGGGAGAAATCTGCCACTCCTGCCTTGGCTGGCTTTGATTAGCACTTCTCTGGTGGAAGTCAAAGGCACAGACAGACTGCAGCAATCTTGACACAGCTTTACTGAGCTGAAAATGTTGGGGCTAAATTAACTTCCTGTTCTGTGCAAAAAGAGCGGATACGTTTTGTTTCACAAGAAAGGAGCTGGAAAAGGGGGGTGAAAAACCTCCCCATCATTTCACCTTGCCCAAATCTCTTGGCAGGGTTATGCTGAGAACGAAACAAGGTAATGGGGACAGTCACTCCAGTGCCAGGTCGTAATTTGCCGAAGCAATCACAATGCATTCCTCAAGGAACTGGTAACACTTTCTGGACATTCCCCTGTCTGCAGTAGCGGAGCGTTGGCGGAATCGGGTTTGAGGCCTCGTGATAGAACCAGGCTTGCGCTTTTCACCTTAAATGTCATAAGTGCATTTGAAAACTGGAGGGAAACCCCATAGCCCTCCGGCCTCCCAGTTATCTCCAGTCTGTGCCTTGCTCCCACCCCAAGTGAAGAAAAAACACCTCTGACAGTCTAGAGCAACAGGGCACGGGGTTCGCAGTGATGCTGGGAGCTATTAATTTCTGTAGCCGTGCCCTCACTTTGGAGCTAGTGTCACCTTCCATAAGAGGCTGTTGTGCCCACAAGATTTATTTTCATCTTTTCAGAATTCCTAGGGCCATTTCAGTCTGTTCTTCTCCAGCGCTAGTAGTAAATTGGGTAAGATCTGGCCCTTGGTCTGCTTCCACTCGCTGAGGTATGTGGATTGGTTTTGCCTTGTAAGGTCCATCTAGCTATGAAGAGAAGAAGGTAGGTGGGTGCTAGGCTTCTAGCAGACGTAAGGTTCCTGGTTTTGTTTTGCTTGTTTGGTTTTTGTTTTAAAGAGAAACCCTCACACACTGGGTTTCCACTGTGCCCCACAGTATGAGAGAGACTGTGACCTCAAGAGCAGCATGCACAGAGATTTGGGTGGATAAATTCCCGCTCACATAGTGGCCCTAAACTCAAAACCTGCTGGTATGCTAAGCTATGTTGCAGGTGTAGTTCATGCAGGTTTTATATGAATATTTCTGGGTTATTGTTTAATCTCTATATGTATTAAAAAATAAAATTCTGGGGTTTTCCTTCCCTTTTTTCTCTTCCCAAGCAAATATAATAGGAATATAGGCCTAATCCTGCTATTGGAAGTCAGGGAGAGCAGAATTCAGGACTTGATAGTGTAAGCGCAGCTGATGAATCTGCATGTGAATGTAGTTTGTTCTGTGGTGGGGTTTTTTCCAGTCTGCTTTATATTACTTAATGATGATAAATGTCCCGTAAAGTCAGGGACTTTTCCATTTTGATGTTAAAAGGAACTTCTCTGCCAATATTTTTGCTTTTATGAAGAAGCTATATTTTATAGATGTGGCTGTTGTAAATTCCAGCTGGTACCTATGAATATTTATTTTTCTATCCATATGCATAATTGGTCTTTTGTGAGCGGTAAATACACATCTACGTTAATGTTTTAAATTGTTCAAGATGCACTGTGAAAGTTAAGCAGCTTCCAAGCTCAGTGCAAATGACAGTAGATGAAACGGCTTGCAGGCATTCATACACCTTCCCCCACAGCCTTCCCAGTAACACTCAGTTCCTCTGTTTTAATTGTTTTAAAAGTAATTTTGTTGGTGAAAACAATTATATAAAGGCCACTTGCTATAGAGAAAACAGTAATAAAACACCATTTATAGAATTTTTACATTAGGAATTGGAGTAACTTAAAGTAGAATTATGAAAGATGCTTATTTTTAACAATGCTTTTCAGTCATCACTGGAAATTTGTTATTTGGACTCCATGTGTAAAGTAACAAACTGATGTTCAGATGCTCATCAAGTGGTATTAATAGCCACTTTACAGCATCCTACTGTTCCCCTCAGGCTGCGTTTCCAGCCTAAAGCTTCAGAACCATTGTGGTCTGTCTGTAAGTACAGACAAAAGTAACTTGACTGTATTGTGCCTACTCACTGTGGAAGGACATCTTACTAATCTTTAGACATGAGTACTTTGATATCAGACTCCACGCTTCCATTATCTAAGGATGGTGTTAATTATACTACATCTTGAAAGGTGTGAATGTAGGTGCTGAGTGTGGGATTGTAAGAACCCCAGTGAAAAGTAATTGTGATTTTCTACAGGTTGGTTTGAAGTTCCTATTTAAGAGCATGTATGCAAGCAACCGCAAAGCTATCACTGCTAATATTGGCCGGACGCAAGGGATTTACGTTTTATAGATGGAAACAGGATTGCTAAAGATTGGTATATTTCATTGCAGATGTGACGAATATGTCACACAGCTGGATGAAATGCAGCGGCAGCTTGCAGCAGCTGAGGATGAGAAGAAGACTCTGAATTCCTTGCTTCGGATGGCTATCCAGCAGAAACTGGCACTGACCCAGCGCCTGGAACATTTGGAGCTAGACCATGAGCAGTCCAAAAGGGTGCGCACAAAATCTGCTTCCAAAGCCAAGAGCAGTAACCCTAGTGTAAGTCATATTCGGTCCTGCGGAGACAGGTCTGAAGGATCTGTCCTTAACAACCAAGTTTTTTGTAGTGAGAAATATAAAATCTATTGTGACTAGGACAGGTGTGTAGAAAAATCATATTATGCATCTTCTTTTATGCTGTAACTGCCAGCGTAAATCCCCACTATCTAATGTCGCAGTGAGTTGACTTGTACTAGTATGTTGTTGAACCAGGTAATACAAATTGTATTATGGTGGTCTTAACTGTAACTAATTCATAAGTATGGGGACACTATTAACAAGTTAATAGTGGAAAGGAATTAGCTTTTACCACAATTAACATGTATGGGTTTTGCTGTTTATGGTTAAGTGTTGAAAGAGTACACCAGATATACTATATCTGGTGCTACTAACTGTAGTTTGTATAGCACAAATGTGATCCTTTCTCCAGGGTTGCAGCATAATTCAATAAATGCTTTCACAGGCAGAAACAAACAGAAAACCTTCCTTGTTATTGTGGCTTAAGTGGTGAACAGCAAGTGTTAAAATTAGAGGTATGTCTTAAAAATGCAGAGCATTTTGAAACTGGATCCAAAATTAATTTGCCTGTTGTGGCACATATTAAGAACTTGCTGTCATATCACCACTGACCAAAGGCCTAAAGCTTTTACAGGCTATAAAAGCTAGAAAAAAACTTGGTAGGGTACATTATTTACACTCTGCTTCCTTCTCTTCAGAGGGTTAACCAGAAGAAACTTGCACATTTATATTAAAAATATGCAATATATACCCCATCTGATAAAAAAATTAAAAAATTAAGAATTGTGATCCTACCTGCCAGACAGTTCCACTTTAAGAAGTTATGCTGTGGAAAAGTGTCAAGTCCTGAAAGGATCTTTGTGGTGTCATGTTGCTCCTTGCAAGCGTAACATTTTGAAAAGAATCTGTTTTATATATTACTGTAGCCACATAACTTGTATGTTAGAATTAATGTGACTATGGTCTAGTATTGTCAGTCACGAAACAGGTTTTCTCAGCTTTCAGTATTAATCTAAATAGGATAGTATTTCAGAGCTCTGATCACTTTTTTTAAAATACACAAAAGAAATTGCATTCCTTATGCAAGCACACGTTTCACAGGGCTCTACATTATAGGCACAGGAAATTGAACCAGATCATCCTGCTAATAATTATTTATGAAGTAGCTTAGTATATGTATTAATCTTTAAAAACAAATAAACCTTTGTTTGCTATTGAACTTTTAAGAGGCCTTTTTAGCCACTTAATTACAATATGTTTGATAAAAGTGTACTTCGTAATTGGTGCCTATATAAAAGAAAAAGATTGAAAATGTTGTTTCTAAAATCATGGAAAATTTGTGGAGCACAACAAGGCACACTTTTTTCTTTAAACCAGACTTTTGAAGTGCCTAGCCTCAAACTTTATTTTAATGTAAAGCCCTGTTCATTTTGTACTTTCAATAATTTTGTATGCCTATAGTATTACTAAAAGCAACGCGAGACTGCACAGTTGTCTGCTTGATAGCGATGTTTTGCAAAGCCATTCTAATATTCCTGGTGTGGTACTGCCTCATCTCACTACCATTTCTTATAGATGATCAGCAGCTTGCTTCCTGTGCACTGCCGCTCTGCCTATAAGTAGTCAGGAGATATTACAGTGCTAATATAAGGTAATAAGGAGCACAGCTTGTTTCCCAGTGAGGGGAAACCACATGGGATTTTGGCTTCCCAGATATTAGGCGGGGGGAAATGACTTTTAAATTCATACAGTGAGACTTTAAACAAATGGAACTGTAGCTTGCTACAAAGCTGGGAAACATCAGAATGCCATAGTCCAGTGCCAGAATTGCATTTACCAATATTGAGAGGAGCAAAAAAAAAAAACGCACCAAGTGATTTAAGTCTAATATGTTCATCAAACATCACTGCCTGAGAGGTTTAAACAAATAGCAATTCTGGCTGTAGAAACTAGGCCCTGTGTGTCTGTTATTACTTTTTTTTAGGAAACACTGAATTCTCCTGAATTTGAGCTTTAATATTGCTAAATAGCAGGTTTGATAATTTAGAAGCAAGACATCTTTTAACAATTTTCAATCCTGCTTTCTCTTCTTTGCTGCACAATCTTCCAAAAGGCCTTTATTCTTCTCATTCCTGCATTAAGTGTAATATAAATACTTTGTAAAAGCAGGTATTTGAGTGCTAACTTTCTTTGCTCTGATAGAAACAGTTACAATTTTGCTTCCACTGTGGTAGGGAGCTTTAATACAGTTTTCACTGCTTCCATGTCTCTAGTGGCAGTATTTTTGCAAAATACTAATGACAAAAAGGTAAATTGGAGAAACTAATTGAATTCATTGTTAGTTTTTTCCCAGATTATCTCGAACTTTCTATAAAGATTTCAGTGTTACCAGACGGCGACTGTTACTGTCAGTCTCAGCTCACACTTTCAGTTCCAAGGATGAACAATTTTGCTATTAGTCCAGTAGTCTTAGTAGTCATTTCCATCTTCATTCATTTCTGTGGATCTTTAAAAAAAAAAAAAGCCAAAAAACCTGACTGCTTGTTTGAGCTTGTCAAGGTTACGGTTTAACTTCTTTTAGCACCTGTTATAAAAAGAAATGAGTGGTGGTAAGGTGACTTGATCCTGCTGTTTGCATTTTTAGATAATATTTCAGATTGAGTCCTGTAATTCTTGATTAACAATTTCTTGAAACATATATTTGCTCTTCAATCTTTCATATCACTTTCAATGGGTTGAGATAAAGCATGGAAAATTCCTAAAGCCATCACCTACCTCTGCAAGCAGGCTCTTCTTCTGAATGATATTCTCTGCATTGGCCTGCATGACATACTGACCTGCATGTTTCTGGAGAACCTAAAACTTCACTGAAAAAGTTTCTTGCACATTCATTGCTGTTAACTTGTGCTTGAACAGCAAAGCTTTATTCAGTACTTGTAAGAAACCTTCTTTCTGCAAAGCTGTTGCTTCCAGGCTAAACCCATAAAGCATCGTTTCATTGGCTTGGAAAGCATCTGTGAGCTAAAATGGCTGCTTCTACCCCAGTAATCTAACAGACACCCTCAACCAACTAACCTGCTTTTGCAGCACGTTGTTTTAAGTTTTCAGTTCTTTAATTGAGAAATAAACACGGATTTCTTTTTTTTCTAATGCTATTTTATTTTTCCATTTTTCAGCTGTAGAGTAGTCCCTGGAGAAGTCCTTTCCAACAGTGCAACAGCATTTCTTAGCCTCTTTCATTATGGGTAAAAGTGGTAGCCCATTGCACAAAGAATGGAAACCACTGACCTGATCCTAACTTTTGAAAACACCTTTTCCTATATACTACCTGAAACTTTACTTTTATGTCTGAAGCTATAAAACAAACAAGCTTTACCTATAAGTGCTGCTGCAGTAAGAAAACTTACAAGTGCTGAAGAAACCTACTTCAAATGTAATGATCACCATAGTAGTTTATGATCTACTAGAAATGTTCGGATGGGGGAATTTCTTATTTCATTGCAGATGCTCATTTTTTTATCTGATTGTTAAACCTGTGCACTTTTGATATTTTGATATTTTTCTTTAGCTTCTTTAATTCCTTACGTAGAAGAGTTTATATAAATGCAGTGGTTTGTGCTCATAGTTTCTCTCCAGTTTGGGCTTGTGATTTTTGAATTATGTATCAGCATGTGGCAGAGATTTGGCGGGGGCTCTAGATTGTGATTAGAAATGAGTTTCAACAGAAGACAGGAGCTCTGCTAAACTGTGTGCTGTGCTTCAGCAGCTTTTTTTATTATTATAAAATGTTAAGTTTTATATGTTTAAATTACCGATTTTTTTTTTTTTTTTAAACTGCCACGTTCATTAAGAAATCCAGGGTATTCAAATTCTGGGGTTTTTTTCATATTATATTATTATTCTTAGGAATAGTTCAATGTAACAAGAAGAAAACTTGACTTTGCTCTGGTTAAAACAGTAATAGGCACTTGAAAAATATTAAGTAGTATTACCTATAAATTCCAGAATTCCTGGGTTTTAGGAAGTTGAAGTATTATTGATTAACAGAATTTTATACAACTATACCAGTTAAATTCCAAATTGGAATTGTTTTGTTACTTTTTCATTTTATTGTGCCAAATTATGGTACATTTAGAAAGAAAAATTCTAAAGTTGTCAATGATAGGGTGTTATATATCAGCGCCTTTCTGTCATTAATTATTGCCAGTAGTGCCTTTAATCATTTTAAGGGAGACTCTTAGAATAGCTTAGTCAAGTCCTGTAACTTAGGAGAAATGGAATGGCTGTTTTGGAATTTACTAGAGACATGGAGCAATAAGTGCAAAGTGAACTCCCCTTTCGCACATTTTTAATGGGTAGTCTTACTAGAGAGATTATATATTCAAGGAATTGTAAAAAATTCTGTTAGTCAACGATATTTCATCATGCAAATCCTTGCAAATTCAGGGGTATAGAGGAAAAAAAAAAAATCCACAAAAAAAAACAAACCATAACAAACCTGAATACACTTTGGGAACCAAATGGACTCATGTTGAACAAATGAGCAAGATGTATTAACACATTTGTGGTAACAGTACAGAGGATGTATCAGGAATATTGATGTTATGTTAGCTTTGTATGGTGGTGGATGCAGTTAACCGTAGTATTGTTTGCAAATGTGAACAACAAAACATTGATATCTTCTCTTGCATGTTGTATCTAATCATTGTAATTTCAGGAAACAGAAATGGAAAGTGCATCAACAAGCTGTACCTGTCTCTCGACTGTTTGTTGAGGCTCATATGAATGATTAAATTGGTACTTGTTGGAGGGGAGCCTTCCCACTCCTCAAAAAAAGTACAAATTGAAATAATATTGACAGTGGGGAAAAGATTTCTGTTTGCTGGAAAAAAGCATTATTATTCCTAGATGTGGGGACTTATATTTCCATCTTCTGTTACAGTATTGATTCATAAGAAATATTGTTGCATTTAAAATTACTACATTTGTATGTGGGTATTTATTTGAATTGATGTCGAAGTACTGTATGTTTTATGTGCATTACCTTTTAGTGGTGGATTGGTCTCCATATAACGTCATATGCATGTATTCTTGCCAAGTAACCTTTACACAGATCTTAAAAAAAAAAAAAAAAAAAAAAAAGAGAGAGAGAGAGAAAAATGTAAAAGAGAAAATGTGGAAACTTTTTAAAAATATAACTGTGTGTTAATTGGATAACCTTAGGAGGCATAGAGGGCAAAACGTTACTTCCAAATTAATAAAAAAATGTTTAATGTAGGAAGGCAGTCTGCCTGCGTAAAGGTAGTCACATTGGCAGTATCAATAAAAGAGAAAAGGAATCATGTTTTTGCTTGTTGTTTTTGTTTT